TTAATTATTCATATTTCCCCATGAGCTGATCCGCTACACATATAAGCGAGAACGACATCCCAATGTCGAACCGCTACCTGCTCTGAATGAGCTAATATCAACCAATCGTCGATGTAGTTGAGTATGCGGATGCTCTGGAGTCGCAATTGAGCCAGAGCAGCATCCACACACTTCGTGAAAGTGCGGGGTGAGAGTGCAAGGCCGAAAGGAAGAACACGATATTGATAAGCTTTGCCCCCAAAAGCGAACCTCAGGAACTTCCTGTGATGAGGAAGGATGGAGACATGGAAGTATGCATCTTTTAGATCGATCGTGACAAACCAGTCCTCGGACCTGATTTGAGACACGACTTGTTTGAGTGTGAGCATCCTGAACTTTAGTCGCATGACTGAGCGGTTCAACTGCGTCAACTGTCGCAGATCTAAAATAGGACGCAACCCCCCATCCTTCTTCGGAACAATGAAGTACCGGCTGTAGAACCTCTCTTCCCCAGAAGGGCCTGCCCTCACCATTCCTGAACCCCAATAGTCAGGACTTTTTGGTCAAGGACCTCTTAGCCTGAAGAACAAGTCCGCAAATCCGGCTTCGGCTTAGAAGTCCCCGACCCAGACGCGGGGGAAGCACGGGCGGCAATGCTCTGTTTCTGAGCCTCCCTGTATGAGGAGCTGGTACGGGGAGGGGACTGCTCCCGCCCAGCAACCCCCAGAGCTGAGACGCGGCGAGGGAGGAACCGCTGAAACTCCACCGCCTGTTTACGGGCCTCCTGGTACATGTCGACGATGGAATTGACGGCGTCGCCGAACAGGCCAGAAGGCGCAAGCGGGGCATCGAGGAGGAAGACCCTGTCTTTCTCTTTCATGTCTGACAGGGTCAACCAAAAATGCCTCTCTGCTGCCACCATAGTTGCCATGGACCGCCCAATGTCATGGGCGGTCTCCTTGGTGGCGCGGAGAGAGAGAGCAGCGGTTCTTCTTATCTCTGCGATGTTATCAGAGTTAAGCTCCTCGCCCTCGTCTAGCTCTTTAAGCAGGTCTGCCTGGTACGCCTGTAACACAGACATTGTGTGCAGACACGCACCGGCCTGACCTGTTGCTGCGTACCCCTTGCCCACCAGCGCTGATGTTGTAAGCAGCAGCTTGGAGGGCAGTGCCAGAGCCTTTAAGGACAATGCCACGCCTGGGGACAGATAGCTTGCCAGCGTCTGTTCAACCCGGGGCATCGCCCTATAGCCACGCTCACTCAACCCCGCCACATTTCCATAATAATCTGAGGCAGGGATGAAGAGACGGGCCGAGAAAAGCTTGGCCCACGACCTCGACACCTCAGTGTGAAGGTCGGGGAAAAATGGCAGGCTCCAACATGGAGGTGGTGGCCTCGCCCGCAGGAAGCGTTCATCTAACTTGCCTCGGTGTAGCTCGGCCAATCGATTTTTAACTTGGCCACGGCGCGAGTAAGCACCTCCACTAGCTCCTCATACTGGGGCGATTGAGGGGGCAAACCTCTTCGACGCCTCCACGTCAACTTCCTCGGAGGACGACAGGCGGAGCGTCGAGCCCTCACCCCGGGAGGAAGTAGCCGCAGAACGGGCTTCCGAAACCCAGAGATCGGGCACTGAATCTGGCGGGTGAGGAAGGAGATAGGGACTCGCCCGTCTCCATTCCCTCCACCAGATTCAACTGCGAACCCCACGAATGCAGCCGCCGCTCTGCCTCGATGGAAGCAAGACCAGCACCGCGAAGAATGCTGGCGAAGGCTCCCTCCTCAAAGAAAGCCCTCCGGGAGCGAAGCATACGCAGTGGGAGAAGCTCGCAATGCGGGCAGCCGGTCCCCTCGAGAGCAGACTCTGCGTGCTCCGCTCCCAAGCAAACCACGCACAGACTATAACGCGGCTTGCTCTCACCCTTAGAGTGCTTTGTCTTAGTGTGAGCTATTGACATAGTGGAGCTTATTAGTTTTATTTTGGACAAACAACAATAAATAAGACTCACAAACACAGAGTTTTGAACTGACACACACAGAGCACTTTGCTGAATGACAAAAAGCTGACGCCGGCTCCGCCGCACATGCTTTTAAGCTTCCTGGTCGATGACGTCACCCGCCTGTGATGTTGCGCCCTTCCATTGGATGGATTACACATGTGATTCAGAGCGTGGTCACAGAAGGCGTTCCCAAAGCGTTCTCCGACGCAGGAACGACCTGTTTTACAACAAAGCAGAAGTAATTCTATACTTACGGCTCACTGATGATCCTCATTACATTCAGTCCGGCGATGGTTCCTGCATCTTTGGTGGCCTGGCGCTGGGCGTCATTGAAATAAGCGGGCACAGTGACCACAGCATGTGTGACCTTTAGAAGAGCAGAAACAGATCAGATGTTGAGTTTTACTGCAGTGCAACAGAGATGTTTTCTTGGTGTTGGAGTCAAAACTTTACCTTCTTTCCCAGGTAAGCCTCTGCGGTCTCCTTCATTTTAGTCAGAACCATGGCAGAGATTTCCTCAGGGGTGAAAGTCTTCATCTGACCTGATCCGATGTCCAGCTGGATGTGAGGCTTGTTCTTCTTCTCAATAACCTGGAGGAGACACAGCAGATGTTTAGTGTAGCGTCTGGACCACTCAAACACACAATACATATTTTGTTAGCTAGATTTAACAAATACTCTGTAACACCCCAGGAAGCTGAACAGGCGTCCTCATCGGTAAACCACCAGCAGGAACTACCAGCCACCAGCAGGAACAGG